TGACTCGGACTTGGAAGTTAAAGACTCAGGACTTGACTTGACTTGAGACACAATGACTTGAATGACTTGAGTGTTATTCACATCATGTTTTTGGTTAGAATATAAAATTAATAAATTAGTTTTAAAAATAATGTTGATTACCCGGTAGGAGCGCAGGCTGAGAATGGCGTTGTCATAATTGGATCACTATCCTGTCAATCAGTCATGCCCTCTCTATGTACCTTACGTGTTTATTGGAGAAACAGGCCCTCTTATATCAGATAGGCTGTCAGCGGGAGGGGTACCGCGAGTCATCTTCTTCGGCTTTCAGAATTACCATTATGACGGCAAAAGACAGCACAGTGCAAGACATGCGGCATAAACATCTCGGACAGCCAGGCGACAACTTCAAACTTTGTTTGTCATTTGAAGAGCCATTCTGCCCAGTAAGTGCTTGTCAGTTAGCTAATATTTTCTGGTTAGTCGGTAGTTAGCTAACGTTAGCTTGATACGATACGGGGGTGGGGTGGGTGGGTTGGTTTGGTGGAACTTGTTTTTTAATTTATTTGCTAACATTAACCCCAGAAAACGTGAGCGAACATTCTGACCGGTTCATCACAAGACCCGCTGTACATTTTTTGAACGAGCAACACAGGGTTAAATGAGCTAAATGGGTGATTTTGGCCACTGCCTTGGTTAGTGTGTGTGTGTGTGTGTGTGTGTGTGTGTGTGTGTGCGCGCACGCGCATGCATGGGGGTCATCCCTGCAAAGTAAACATTGCAACGATGAAGTCAATGTTTACTGACAGTTACTTATATCTTGTCTTTTCACTTTATTAAGGTCAGATTCTGCAGGTAAAATTACAATAATAAGGTGACTTGACTTGGACTTGACTTGACATAACCTGTGACTTGACTTGCCCAAGAAAAAATGACTTGGGACTTACTTGAGACTTGAAGGTTAAGACTTGAGACTTACTTGAGACTTGCACATGTGTGACTTGGTCCCATCTGTGGCTTAACATAACCTTGACTTTCCGGATGTTGAGGGCATGTGTTTCTTCTTCACAATGTGTGTATGATGTTGTGAAACATGGAAAAGTGTCAATATTTCCCATTAACTGAAGAGGGGACTTTGCTTTCCCATTCAGTAGCAGTTGCGTGTAACTGGGTGTAGAAACACAGAATGTGGCATGCTTGGTGAAGCCGCCAGCTTCCATTCATTTTCTATGAGAAGCCATTATCAATTTGATGTAGAATACTATGGACAGCTGACACTTTGTTTTAAGTTGTGTTGTTAAGTATCCAGAATCTAACATCTATCAGTCATCTCGTGCCAGTGTGATCTTGATATAGCATCAGGTCTGGAGACCAAAACCCAACGAGTACAAAATGTCATAATGTTATTGTCCACACAGTCTGAAATTCTAATGTCGGTGAACATGTGAACATTACAATTTTTCAAGATTATTTTTGTGGGCTTTTGCCTTTAATGGATAGGACAGTGTGTGAAATGGGGAGACAGAGAGAGAGAGTGGGGACTGACACGCAGCAAAGGGTTGCAGGGTGGACTCGAACCTGCGACCGCTGCGCGGTAATATGAATGTTAATGAGGAATGGTGATGTGAAGTAGGTCATTTAAGAGCTATAGAGAGATGTTAAGGGCAATCAACTGCTCTAAGGTAATAAATTAATTTATTAATTTTATTCGACATCACCTCTGATCACATGAAAGAAGGGTTTAGCCCACTGGTTTGAAGTGTCGCTGCAGAGAGGGGACTGTAGCTGACTTCCAGGTTGTTGCACTGTGTTGTTGACTTGCGTGGCAGCCAGGAGTTACAGAGCCTGTCAGACTGTGAGGGCTACAGCAGGAAGAAGCCTCAGCAGCTTGTGAAGATCTCCGGCCACTCTGGAGAAAATAGCTTGCTGAGCTGATGAGGCTTGCGGGTGGGACAACCCAGTGGTTTTACTTCAGAGCCAGCAGCAGTGTCTTTTGTGGGGATAGTTGCTGGTGGTTCACCCAAAATTCTCAGCTGTGGGACAGCGACAGGCTTCTTGATTCCATGTGATACTGGCTGGATGTAGAATAACAAACCCTGACTACAGCACTTCTGAGGCTGAGTATCAGATAGATTATTTTTGCCGGGTAGCAAGCTTCAGAAAGAAAACACTTGAAAAAATGCAAGGCTTGATAGTACAAAATTTTTAGAAAATGAAAAAAAAAGCACCCTTTCAGAACAAAATCAAACAGGCTGCAGTGAGAGTCTCTCTCGAGGGGATATTTAAAAATAGCAGTTTTGTGCATTTTGTCCCTCTCAGGCAAGCGCAGGGGGTAAGTATTGCCATAGCCCACAGGAACGACGCTCCACAATGCTTTTTTTTTCTCCTTCAAGTGAGGATTAGAATATATGCAGTTCACATAAAAACAAAATTAATATATATTTCAAATGCTTGAAGATCCACTCATTACTAAATGTGTACGTCATCCAAGAGAGACAGTAAGAACTAATGGAATGGTCAGTGTTGTCATGTTGAAATCTGAGGTGTGCTGATGGATTCACGTCGTCCGCTCATGCATTGAGTAACATAACAAGTAAACGTTCCACCTTAGAAGTTGCCAGCAGTCGGCCCAGTGAATTAAGTTATTTTTTACTGGCTCAAGTGAAGTCTCAATGTAAACCCTAGAAGACTGCCTCCATTTTGAGGTCTCTTTCAGCCAGTTTGTTTACATGCAGGACAGAAGTTTGGATAATGTGGAGAAATATGAACATTTGTGCAGCAGGAGTTTGTGGATATGTGTGGATGTAATAATGTGTTTGGACTAAATATTTTGCTTGATTTAGATCGTCTGGACTTGTGTATGAAAAGTGAAATGGGAACTGTGTGTTAAGTGTGATTCAGTCTGGATAATATAGATCTGTGGATAATACAATAACGCTTCATAGGTGGGTTATAAGTGTTTTTTGTCAGATAGAAGCATCTGTTGAGCTTGCTGTGGTGGTTTTATCTTGAAATGGTCAGCACTGTGAGGTGTGGAGCTTTCTAGTAATAGGTCGTATTAGTAAACTGCTTAAACAACGTCAAATACAGCAGTTTTTTTATATACCATAGGCATCAAAAAAATCATTTTAGGAGGGTTCATGGACAGGCCATCTGATTTCTAACAGTTGGGAGATGTGGGGTGTCCATGAGGCATTTCCTACTCTCCATATCGGTTGGGGAATTCAAATAAAGAAATATATAAACAAGCAGAAGAAACAGAAGAAAATAGGTGGCATACCAATAGACATACGATCAGAGGTTGATGTTTCTTTTGCATGTTTAAAAGCATCTACATATCTACATGATTTAGGATTCTGTGTTTATTTGTACACTGTAGACTTCTGTAACTTTGTGTGGATGTGTTTTGTTTTTCAGATATCATACTGTCAAGGTATGAGTGATATTGCGTCCCCTATACTTGCTGTAATGGACAATGAGGCGCATGCCTTCATTTGCTTTTGTGGCATCATGAAACGCTTGGAGGGGAACTTCCGGCCAGATGGGCAGCTTATGTCTATCAAGTTCCAGCATCTAAAGCTGCTTCTGCAGTACTCAGATCCTGAATTCTACTCTTACCTGGTGTCCAGAGGAGCTGACGACCTCTTCTTCTGTTACCGCTGGCTGCTTCTGGAGCTCAAGCGAGAGTTTGCTTTTGATGATGCTTTGAGGATGCTTGAGGTAACTTGGAGCTCCCTGCCCCCAGATCCTCCTGAAACTGAAGTAGAGCTTCTGGGACCACTAGTTGAAACCAGTGAAACAGTGTCCCTCAGAGACAAGGACAAGGTAGTTGAGAATTGCCTCGGTGATGATAAGGAACAAAAAGAGAAGCAGCGTAGACGACATATGCTGAGACCGTCAAGAGAAGAGCCAGATATGAGCAGGAATGCTGTCATAAAAGAAAAGGGAAGCGATGGTGAATATGATGTTCCTCAAGTGACCATTGAAAAGGCAGATTTGGAGGCTCCTCCTTTTGAGAGGCAAACTAGTTTCGGGGAGTTTAAATACTATACTGCCCGGAATGAAGATAGCTTTCATATGGAGGATGCTGAGCATCCACAGGTTTTGGTATCTTCAAAGCCAGTAACAAGCATCCCAAGGCGCCAGTCCACAGTTGACAGTGAGGAGGATCCAGGAGAGAGAACACCTCTCATAAAAAACTGTGACAGTGGTTTCTCTCCAGGATCATCCCTTCCTCTCTTCCCTAGTGGCCTACCAATCTGGAAAAATAGCCCATCTGGCTCTCCCACATCTTCAGCTTCACCCTCCAGCTGGCCAGGTGCTTCTCCAGACTCTCCTCCAAAATCCCCATCCCCAACCAATGGAAGTGAGGCCTCTCCAAGAACTGTCCCAAAAGTTTTGACCTCCTCTGCCCAAGTCCTCAGCAGTACAGGGATTAACTCACCTACGACCCCCACTGTAAAAACATCTGTTGCATCTCCAACCCACAATCAGAATCGATCCCTGCTCTCTTCACCCATTTTGTCCTTTGGAAGAGGCCCCTCGCTGTCTGGCAGCAGGTCGTCCTCCAACAATCTCCTTTCACCTGGAAGCAAATCCCCCAGCACCACAGCTAACACACCCAGTTCTTCAAAAGCTGACACCACCAGCATCAAACCGTGTTCCTTGCCGCCTCCTCAAGAGTTTGGCAAAGGCAATCCCTTCATGCTGTTCCTGTGCCTGTCCATCCTGCTGGAGCATCGAGACCACATCATCAAGAACAGCTTGGATTACAATGAGCTAGCCATGCACTTTGATCGCCTTGTGCGTCGCCACAACCTGAGCAGGGTGCTACAGCGAGCCAAGGCCTTATTTGCAGACTACTTGCAGAGTGAAGTGTGGGACTCAGAAGAAGGGGATGAGGTTAGCTCGGACTCCCCAACAACAACTACTGCTGCTCAACACTCTCCCTCTTCAACCATCTCTGCCAGGCCTATTTACAGCCCTTTGGCATCGCCTCAGTCATCCTCACAGAACTCAACCTATAACCTCGCAACCACCATTCCCTCCCCAACAGGTCAAGTTTCCCTTTCTCCCACCTCCTGATTCCATCATGCATCATTGGCTTCCCATCCTCAAAGAGCTCCTCAGTAGACTGTGGCCCATTGGAGGTGTACATCTTTTTTAGATAGCCTTATATATTAAATTGGTTTGGTACCAATCTTCTCATCCTGTGTATGCTTGAATACATATATATACCTTATGTCTGTAATCATGGTAATATTTTATTTTTTTCATCATTTGCTGTCTGTCCTGGGAAGAGGAGATGAGGGAGCTTAGTTATTCATCATATCTAGAGGTTACTGATGCATGAAATGTTAAAAAGGCATTTAACCTGTGTTGTCCTTTTATTTACAAGCTCCTGATATGTCTAATAAGCCACAAATGTGTCTTAACTAAAGCAATCAAGCTACATTAGTTATAAACAGAACAGAAAACCCAGACCGTAATTTGTTGTTAGTCTGTCACAGTGTAAACCGAAGGCAACACTTGTGAGTCAAAACAAGGCCAGCATGCATATTGCACCTACCTAATCCAGGGGTAAACCATCAATACATTTACATGGGGTTATAAACTGTTGCTGAGACACTTTCAGCACTAGAAAAAAAAAACTTTCTGAAGATGTAACACACTACTGAACAACTATTCTTCCCCTAAGATTTCAATAGGTAGCCATGTGTGACCATAGACTGGATTTAAGGATGGACAATATGTCTACACTCATCCTACTGTGCAAAAATGACACCAAAACATCTTGGATACGTCATCTGCCATCTTGCACTGGTGAAGTCATTTAGAGCCAGAGTCTGCACACTAGCAATCTCCATGGTGTCAATTTCCTGCCCATACACCCGTCACACCCAGTCGAGAGCAGCACCAGTGGTCGAAACACACCAATTGGCACACACAACTGGCAATCCTGACATCAAATGGCCTTTTTTTAGCATGAAATAACTAATAAGTCTCAGAGCAACTTAGAGAGTGCCGAGGTCACAAGTGGGGCTAGTGATGCCCCAGTTAGTGATGTCTAAAGGGTATTTTGCCTTTGACAGCAATCTAAAACCTCTGCTATGATGTTATTAATTGCAATGTGAATTGAAGTATGGAATACTTGAACAGTTTAACCCATAGAGAGAAGTATAGCAGCAGTTTTCTGACCAAAAAAATGAAAGGAAGTGAGACCTCTGGCAGGATGAGAAACTATCTTGACACCTTGACTTGATACCTTCACCCAATTACAAACTGGATTAAGAAACCTGCCAAATATTTAAAGGTGAAATCCAATAACTTCACACAGGAAGTCCTACTCACCCTGTAAATTAAGTGAATAATGCTGCAGTGGCCCATACATTCCCCAACATAAAGATTACCATTCATACCATTTATGTTTTATGCTGTAGATGAGCCAAAATGACCTTATATGTCCTCTTAAGCCTATTGTCTTGTTGCCATTAGCTTGATATTTTTGCCATTTCTGCTATCACCAAAACAAAACTTTCTACATGTTTAATGATGCTTAAATGATTCAATTGCTTACTGCTTCTGTATAAAAGAAGTTACATGATCTGTTTCCTCCCAGGGTGCACTATAGGTAAGGTGAGATCGAGGGGACATGAATGACAGAGTTTTTTTTTTAGGCCTCCATACAAACTTAAATCACAGATTTTGGGTTGGTGCAATGAGTTGGTGTCACTGGTAAGTTGACACAGGATGGTTAATTTTAGCTAAATAATTCTTATATATTCACAGGTGTCTCTTTAAAAATATTTTTGTTATTGCTCATTTGTTTTTGTTTTTTTTTCAACTGTCAGTGTCACTCAGCCAGTCAGTTATTCATGGAATTAAGGCTTATAGATCCAATCAGTACATAGCGAGGGTCTCCATAGTTAAAACAGGACAAAGCAGCTGATCATTTTTGTTTGATGACAACACAGAAAACAGTGAGATCTAACCCCAGGGGCCGTACACATGGCGCATTTTTTTATTGTTTTTAATGTAGATGCGCGGCAGCTGCGCTCAAATGCAAATGCGACGCTGTCGCAGCGCGCACGCACTCCCAAGCGCCTACTTTTCAGGGCACGATGGCTGCGATGAAGATCAGCTCTGCACTCAGGATTTCAAGTAAATATGCTAGGATATGGTGCTTGTTGCGGTTGCACAGCCATCACTCCCTGAAAAATAGGCGCTGGGGAATGCATGCATGTCGCGACAGCGTCGCATTTGCGTTTGAGCACAGCTGCCGTGCATCTACATTGAAAACTGAATTTGAAGGCGCAAAGCGGAGCACGTGTATGTCACCTAACACTCTGAGGGTATGTGGATGCAGTACTGTAAAACACACATTGGTGTCGATCTGCATTTTATAGACACCATTGTGTTGATAGTATAGCCTATTGTATGTGCTGGATTCATACATTCAAACTACAACAGTAAAGCAAGTACTGTGCATTATTTAGTGCTTTGTAGCGTCATCATTCAGAGAGGTATTATTTTAGCTATTTGGTCATGATGTTTTTGAAAGACTTTTTGTTCTGTTTTGTGTTATGATTTCAAAGACACCCAGGGTTCTCTTTGTCTAAATGAGGCTAATTAATGCACAACTGCAGGCATCACATATTGATGGTTTTTATACTTGCTTTGTGTTGTTGCTCATGAGAAGGATATAACTGACTCCTGGTTGTATAATTATTATCTTTACCACTGATTCTTCAGTGTGTTTGACATTGTAAAGTGGAATATGATATATTGCCACTTGACATGGCAAAAAACACAAGTCTTTGTGCAACCGTTTGGCAGAGAAGTGCCTCACTTGTTTGACTCAGTAGCCTTGATTTATATTTTCTTTTGTGCTCTTAACATCAGTGTACATTATGTTGTCATAGGGACTGATTTAAAGGCCAGCTATAGGACTGAGTGATATTAGAATCAAATGGTTTATTGACAGACATTGTTAACATGTGGGGCATCCTGATGCTAGAAGTGTTGGGCTCTGGCTGGCGTGCTTGGACTTGCCTCTGATTGATTTTAAGAGGAGTTCGACTAGATCATATCAGTGATGCACGCATGGTATTCACTGCAGAGAAAAAGCTAGTTTTAACCATTTATGATATATTGCGTATCTAACCAAGTTATGGATCATGACATGATACACATCTTAATGTCTCATTGACTTTTGTTCCAAGCTCATTTCTGCAAGCCAAAGAGAAAACGTTGGAATGCTTATTTTCATTTTTAGTCACTGAGTCAAAATGATGATATATATATACTCTGTAGCATCACAGAGGGAATGGAAAATCATTCAAACAGGATTTATGTTTTCATAGATACACCTCCTGATTTTGTAATTGTGCTCCCAGATCCCCAAGTTTCAGGGTTTTTCAGACCTGAAAAAGTCATGGAATTAGTCAAAATCATTGAAAGTTGTGGAAAAGTCATGGAATTTTGTCATTTAAAATGAAATTGTTATAGTAATCTTCAGTGGATAACCATCCACGTAATGTAAGTTAATAGCAAATTAATTTTCTGTAGCTGAAGACGTAGCGTGGCTCTAACATAAGGCGATGTGTTAGTGTTTTGCTTACTGTGGAGTATGTTTCATCTTGTAGTCCTTGGGTTCTTCTCTCCCTTCCAGTATGCCAGCTAGCTAAAATTAATCTGAATAGGGTTAGAATCTGATGTTTGAAAAACACAGGGCAAGACAAAAAAGTCTTTGTTATGGGTCCTTTAAAAGTCATGAAAAAGTTTGGAAATGTTGTCCATGAAAATATGAGGGAACCCCGATGTTTTCTCCCTCGTTGTTGAAGCTTCGGACCTCAGCACAGTTCAGCTGTGTAGGAATTTTTCGGGTTATGGAAATACAAGAACAATGTCAGACAGTGTATCTTAAAATTGTCAAATTTGTTGTTTGTTTTTCTCTGCATTGTTTACCTTCAGACTTTATTCATGGTTTTGAGAGGCCTATATTATGTATATTCTCAGTAGTCTGTAATGCAGAAGGTTGTACAGGAAGCGAGATTGCTCCACCTCCAATAGGAGAATCCCTCTTTGACGAGTGCTTCTGTTTTAAGCAGAAACTAAAGTAATTCTCATGTCTTTAGAAAGACCCTTGTGATTATTGTGGTTATTACTCTTACATTTGGTTTCGCCACCTTTTGTAAATCAGTATTTATTAGCATATTTAAAAAGAACTGAAGTAACTGGACTGGCTGGACTATGAGCTAGCAATATGTGCATTTGTAAAAAAGAAAAAAAAGATTTGTTTATTTCATTAAGTTATATTTGTGCACAAAAGTTAAACTTTTTAATCATACACCACACAACAATGTTACTGATTGTATATCGGATACAAATAAATAAGCAATGCAACTGATTGTGCTTTTGAATTGACTGAAAAATGAAAGCATGAAAGCTGGGCTTGGTATCTTATAGAAAAATAAGTTTTTGTCATGTTTGATGAAACTGTCACTATATCCAGAGAGCAGTACATGAAACAGATAATATGTAAAAATATGTTGCTGTCTCCCCATAGTGCTTCTAATGGCATTTAAACAGTGCAATACTGGTGGGCACAAATGATCTGTGAGCAAAACTGGTTCGGAGGGCTGACATACACTGAACAGAGGATGTGAAACCTCTCTTGTAATTGCCTGGCCTTTCCTACCACTCTGGACTCACAGGTCATCATCATGCTGTTTTGCTGCTGTCCAGCAATTTTAATGGACATATTCAGTATCTAATCAAACTCCTCCACTTTTCGCAGTCTGAAAATTAAAGTTAGACTATATTAAAAAGAGAAAAAAGTGTTAAAGTCTGATAAGTTTTAGCACATTACACAGAGAATGAATGGTAGAGTATGGAAATGAGTATAAGTTATTAAAAAGGAAAAAGAATTTACAATGTCTGAGTATTTTTTTAAAAGTGATAACAGTATCTATTTTAGCGTAGCTTGAAGTGTCTACTTTAAACATTTTAAGAGGAGATACATTTTGAAACCTTGAGCTCCATAGCGTTTAATGGGGTTACAGTAGTATTTTTGATTTATCTCCAAAAGTACACCAGAGTTTTAAAAAACGGTTTGTTTTTGCATACTTTGTTCATAAACATGAAAAAATAGCATTTTACTCCTGACTTTATGTATTTTTTAGGGATGCACAATAATAG